ACAACTGAAGCACATGAGCCGACAATGACGTTTAACTCTGTTATCACAATTAGAAGATGCTCAACAAGAATTGTTACAGTATGGTTTATAACCCAATTCCGTGCCAGGTCGCGTCGTGCCTCCCAACACCCGAAGACTCTGCATTGTGTTTTTGTATTGTCGATGTATGGTGCGATGCAGAAGGACGACTCGACATGGCTGTCGATTTTTTCATGGTCAAAAACTCTTTTTATTTCTCCTTTTTTATCGATACAGGAAAAACACACACTCTCTCTCTGCAAAACAACATCCGCACGGAACAGTGTCAAAACAAATACGGTGACCATCCAGAACAAAAATAGTTAATAGTGCCTAACTCTGGAGGGGCGAACAACAACAACAACAGTGTCCTCCAGTGTCAACTTAGGTCACTACCCTTTTCCACAAATCGTCCCTATTGATCTGTGACTCAATGCACGCCCATCTCACCGATATTGTCAAAACCCAAGTGAAGCAAACTAATTTGGGGCTTGCCATCATTCCGGGTGGATTAACCACAGAATTCAAAGTTCAAAATTCAGTTCAAAGTTAAATTGCGAGCTGCGTGGGAGCATTGGATGACAGAAGGCGAACACACATTCACCAAGACAGGGAGGCAACGCCGGGCAAATTACACCACTATCTACCAATGGATTGTGGATGCCTGGGTTAAGGTATCAGTCTCATATGTCGACCGAGCTTTCACGAAGGCCGGAATCATCACTGAACAACTAATTAACAGCAACGAGACTGACTCAGATATACAGTGGTATGAAAACGTTTGGGCACCCCTGATCATTTTCAAGATTTTCCTTTATGTATCATTGGTTGTTCGGAATAGCAATTTCAATTAAATATATCATATAGCAAACAAACACAGTGATATTTAGGAAATGAAATGAAGTTTATAGGATTTACAGAAAGTGTGCAATAATTACTTAAAAGTAGGCATGTGCATAAATTTGGGCACCCTTGTTTTATTGATTTGAATACCTTTAGCACTAATTATTGGAACACAAAATTTGTTTGGTAAGCTCATTGACCCTTGACCTACATACACAGGTGAAGCCAATCATGAGAAAGG